AGAAAGTGGAGACTAAAAAACCTGGTAAAACTATTTTTCCAGATATGTTTAGGGTCTGAATCTACTCATCATCTTTATAGAAATAGCCAAGGAGAACAAATCAGGACTCTTCTTCTAATGACTGGTGTTCAGGACTGAGACCCAGCTAAAATGCTTTTGAACTTGTACACTGACATGAAGTTCTCCTGATTCATATAGTGACAGGTTTGGTCATAATGTTGAACACAACCTGTTCCCAACCATTATGATGTCCTGTTTCATGCTAAGATGAACAGGGAAGAAAATTTTTTCTTTGGAAAAAGGTCTGCACTCAAAAAACCTTTTGGGGTGTTTTTTTTTTCCAAGAGCAGATGTTTGCAGGAAATTTGTATTACATCAGACTACTATACTGTTTTGACAGGACACAAAATGTCCATGCAGTAAGACGACACGGGCAGCTGTCATTATACATCCAGCATGATCTTTCAATGTAGTTATGGGTATATACAGCATTTGTATTACTGCCAATTAATCAGTCGTTGTCACTATCTGGTTATCAAACAAGCAATCTGGGAAATCTGAACCATTTGCACTCCCAATGGTGTGGATTCCTATCAGTTTTTAGATCATGCAATCAAGTCCTTTGTTTCCTAATGCTCAGAAAGCACGCAGGAAATATTTTTTTTAATCAGAAAAGAAATTATCAGATATAATGTTATACTGAATTTGTTCAGACTTCTGGAATCATCTCTTTCACACGAGTGATGCCCGAGATGACCGGTATTAAAATAATCACTTCAGTTTAGCTTGTGTAAAACTTGTTACACGATATCTATGCTTACAGCTTTGAATGTTGATCTTCAAGACGGAGGAATTTAATTCCCTCATTTGCCAAACCATATAGGAAAACATTGTGTTCATATAAGGCATACAGCAGTACTTTGGTCTCATTAGCCTCAGTCAGTAGAACACAGCGGCAAGGCTGTGCTCAGTTTTGTTCTTGTTCATTTGAAACAGAATCACCATGCTGCATCCCTCCTGAAGAACAAGGCCATATGATATTTATGAGGGAAAAAACTAACGGAAGAAACTCAGATGCTAAACAAGAGGGATTTAACTGCAATGAGAGTGTATTTTAAAATGACACTTCACACAACATTCAGGACTGAGTCTTCTCATTAACAGAGGAAAGCTAAAACTTATTTTTTTTTCAAATGGCATTTATGTCATTAAACGTGGGAATGAGTGAATATGCAGTGCTGATAGATAGTACTTTATCAGAGGACAGGTTCACATTTGCATCGTGTTAGTTCCAGCTTCTCCAACATGGCCCCATCCATCTACTCCTTTTGCAACACCTAACAATGTAAGTTTTAGTTTCCATTCTCACTGAGTCATTAGTCTCTCTGTGGATACTGAAAATAAAGGCAATCATGTATGGCTAATTGTGGCAGATATCAGATGACAGAATCTGTATATCCCAGTGTGGACTCAAAAGGCAGGGAGAGAAATGGAGGGCTTCAGATTTCACTGGGAATCAACAGGGGATTTCAAAATGAGAGATTACATTTTCACTGATAAAGAGTTTCTTTGCCACTGGAAAACAATCAGGTGTTAGCTGTTCTTCTATAAATACAGTGTGCATTTCATTTACAAAAAGAAAATTCAATTTCTGACAACCAGGGATAAAAAGGTACTTCCTGTTGATCTCATGGTACACTACTAAAGCCATGACCCGACTTAAAATTCTCTAATGAAATAACAAAGACGTGTTTATCGCTACACAAACAAACAAGAAAAATTCCTTGGCTTTGTCTTCACTAAGATAAGGTTGTGTACCAAATTCTGCTGGGAGCAACAAACTGAGCATTGTGTCAGGTCCTTTGATCTCCCCTGAAAACCACTGCTTAAAGTACACAAAGTCTGAAAGATGAGTGATAGGGAGGATAGAAAAAGAAGAAAAGAAGGAACATTGTACTTTCCTGACCTTTTACTGTCTGATGACCAGATGACAGAGGGTTTGTAGGGAACACTGTGGTTATATGTAATGCAGGGAAATGTCTGAAGTAAGAAGAGTTCCCCCTTGAAAGACAGTGCAATGCCATTTAAAGGTGGGTTTGGGCCAATTCTTCATAAAAAACCATCATGAATGTTTCTTTGTGACTCAACAAAGTCATCATCGTCACTGAGCTAAACTGGATTTGTACAGAGTTTGGAAGGCATAATCTTTCTAGGGTAGCAGCTACACTAGATTCAGCTCCAGTCATGTTAGCATAGCTCAGTGGCCATCCTGAGTACCACTGTATGATAAAACCATTCTCGAAGTGCATCTAGCCTGGCTCTTTCAAACGACACTAGAAGTTAAGTGGTATGCCCAATTTCTAATACACAAGTTGCACTGATTGCTGAAAATAACACATGAAGAAAGACAACTTTAATTTTTTCCATCATAAACATAGCCTTAGAAGTTGAGTCTGAAAGATTCAAGGGAGTCTACAGAGTCAGTAATTTGAACTTTTACCACTGAGTGGCTGCCAAACTCTCCCTTTAATTCCAGACTAAATAACATGCAGCAAAACAACATAGGTGAATTTGATCAGTATTTTCATTTTAATGTTCTTCATTGCACAGAAACAAGAGGCCTTTGAGGTTCTCAAATTTTCCACAACCCAAACTCATGCTAAGATATTTATGAAGTCAGTCACATTTGCACAAAGCCCACCTTTTAACAAGAAAACTGACATTGTGACAAAGCCTATTTTAATCAGAATACTTCAGCCCACAGCATGCACAGATACAGCCCAAAGATGGTCCTGAAATGAAAGTAAACCATTCTCCCAACTTACTGGAGCACTGACAGATTATTTTAGGACTAGCCTGAATGAAAAATAAGAATTAGACTCAGACCTCTGTTTTCTCATTGCTAGCTAGTTCCATGTTTGTTTTTCCTTCCCCCCCCCTTTCTTCCATATGTCTGTTCATGTGTGTTTGGCTATTATAAGCACTTTATCAATACTGACGTTACTCCTCAAAATTCATTTCAAAGGGATGACTTTCATGGCTCCCATGATTCTTAAGCCGCCTACGGTATTTGTAACTCGCAGAATCAGAAACTAACACACAGACAGTGTAGCTTTTCATACAAAGGCACAATAGGAATGAATGTATTAACCTCTGTGGTGCATGGAATGTGTCAGCTTACACACTGGCAGCTATTTCTGTGAAACTCAGCTAACTTCCGCTGGCTGTGTTAAAATAAAATCAAAAAAAAAAAAAAAAAGATCCTCCCCAGGACTGTGTCCCACGCTCTCGTATGCTGGCCAAACAACTGAAATATCTACTGATGTCTACTTCATACTGATGTGGGCCAAACAGAGTTTGAGAATGCATTTCACACGTACTGGTTATAAACACTGAGCCTTTCCAAGCAGGTATAAAGCTCTGCTGTTTCCATGTGACTTGGCAAATAATAGTGAGCGGGGAGACTCGTTTGCAATGGAGAGCATGGGACTTTTTTTTTCTTGTTTCTAGAAAAGAGCGTCAAACCAGATCATGCAGAATTACAGATGATTTGGATTTTGGTTTCCTTTTAGTCCCAAATTTTACTCAGCTTCGTCCTGCCAGCAAAGCATACATGGCAGGTAGCAAAATCCAAACTGCAGCAATGGACATAACATTTCCTTAATTCCAATGACTTGACAAGGGTTGTGTGGCTGATCAGTAATATCTGAGGAACATCTGCACTGTTGTCATTAAGACTCATGGACATCCTAACACTTTCAAAATTTAAAATTTTATCAGCAGTTTGAAAATCATATACATCTGGCTACCAGACCAACTCTTTCATGTAGCTGAAAAAAAAATTCTTTAGTATCTTTCCACCTGTTTTCTAATTGTCTATGTTAAATTAGGATAATCACTAATTATCTGCACTACAGCAGTGCCTAAAATGCTTGGGTACCATAAAACACTGTAGGAGGGGCCAGTCATTGCTCTGAAGAGCTTATGGCCTAAATGGACATAATCATGTAAACAACTTTTAAGCAGTTTAAAAGTGCTTGTCAGGACAGAGCTTTTCTGCCTGGCAATCCACTTCCTTTTGGTGGTTTACACCTAGCCAGCATTACAGCCTGCATCAGAAGGATCTAATGGAAAAGTGTCCCAGTTTTGGCTGGGATAGAGTTGGTTTTCTTCTCAGTAGCTGTGTTTAGGATTTAGGATGAGAATAATGTTGATAACACACTGATGTTTTGGTTGTTTCTAAACAGCACTTACCCTAAACCAAGGATTTCTCATTTCCCATGCTCCACCACTGAGAAGCTGTACAAAATGCTGGGAGGTAGCAAGGCCGAGACAGCTGACCCAAACTGGCCAAAAGAATATTCCATACCAGAGAATGTCATGCTCAGTTTATAAACTGGGGGTAGTTTTCCGGGAGGGGCTGATCACTGCTCAGGGACAGGTTGGGCATTGGTCAATGGATGGAGAGCAATGGCACTGTGCACCACTTCTTTTTCTTGTATTTTATTTCTCTCTCTCTCCTTTTCATTACATTTGTTGCTATTATTGTTGTTATTATCATTATTCCTATTCTATTTAACTTTATTTCAATTATTAAAATGTTCTTGTCTCAATCCATGGGTTTCACCACTTTTTTCCCCAATTCTCCTCCCCATCCCACTTTTGGAGAGGTGGAGTGAGTGAGTGGCCATGTAGCACTTAGTTGCCAGCTGGGGTTAAACTGCAACAATAAGAGAAGCAAACATGCCACTATGCAGAAATTTAAAGTACAAACCTAAAGTAGTTAAATTGACAATAAAGACACAAAAACCGTAACAAGAAGTTCCTGGAAGGTAAAAGTAAAATGTGTATCATTTGACGATTCTTTTGCTTCAGATGCAAATTTTATGAGACAAGAACAGTCCCAAACCCCTGTTAATTGCATTGTGTTGCAATGGAAGAGAAAACTGGTTTTCATATTTACTTAACCTTTGCCTCTTGTACATTGTGCTCGGACTTACCTGCAGTTGGAGTGGGCCTAAGCCCGGTGTTGCTGCGGCAGCAGCTGCCATGGTAGTTGGGATCAGCTGAACGGGGTAGGGGTCACCTAAGTAAGAGAATAATAGAGGCGTCAGCACCTTTTATCTACTCTCCACCTGCAAATTAAAGTCCTGCATTCACTCTTTCCAAAAGCCTTCTTTTGTGTGCCTTGTTGAGGCCTAATGAAAAGCTCTATTGTGCAGCCTTTTACTAACACTCTTTTCACAATTCTGGCTGAGAGAGGAATGTGAATAAAAGGCACAAGCAATTAAGGCGGAAACCTCATCCTTTTTCATGATGTATTTAGGGAAATGGGAAAAAAAAGTGCACATTGATCAGAAGGCTGCACTTCAAAAAAAAAAAGGAAAGAAAGAAGATGGGGGTGGAGGAGAAGAAAAGGAAAACAGTACAACCTTGATAAGATCACAGCATTAGAAGGGGACAAATTTACAAGCTTGTCCAGAATATGAAGTTAACCAAACTCCGCTCACTGTTAGTAAACTGAGCCTCATGCAGAGCAGAAATGGCACTCAATTGACTACTCTGCTTTCTTTCAGGTGAGAAAAAAAAAAATCTCACTTTAGTGTCAGGGTTTGATCCTACAACAAGAAAAAGCATGTGAAGTTAAGGAAATCAGATACAAGCCTCCGAAATCCCTAAATCCCTGCACTGACTCCACTTCATGACCTGGGATTCAATTTTGCTTCTGAGGGAAATCTACTTCATTCTTACTAAGAACTGCATTGTGCTGGATGAGATATAGAGACCTAGTAACAGTTTTAGGAAAAACTGCAGTCATTTATAAAGGAAAATTACCTGAGATGACAAAAATTGAGATGTAGACTGGTATGTTTTAATGTTATGGAGTACTCACTTTTGGTCACTCCTTACATATCTGATTTGTTAAAATAAACTTCACACTAGCCTGTGCACAAAATTAGTAAGAAAACTGGTAAAATATAATAAAAAATCTTACACACATTATATTGCTTCTCCAAATGATAAAAAGTTTAGGCACTTTCCACTGAAATAAGGCTCACCAGAGCATTTCTGTATGTCCCTATGTTCTGGTGACATGCATGATTTCTGTAGCATTAAAACAGCCACTTGAAATGAGACTATGGAAAGGGCAGAACACTTTATCAGAAAAATCTACCTAAATGTTCCTTTACATTTTATCAGAGAGGCAAATTAAAAGTTTTCCCCTTTATTGTGCTTTTTTGAATGAACGGGGGGGGGGGGGGGGAGGAGACAATTAAGAAGGTAATGCAGGGTGTTCTGTACAAGCATTATTAGTTATTATTGAATTAAAGTTTATAATGTTATCAAGCCTTAGTTACAGAAAACAAAGAGAATGACATTTATCTAATTTTTTTAAATGTTAGAAATAAGCTGAGTTGGCATAAACACATTCAGGAAAACTGCTAATATTTTTTTTCTCTTTTATAATGTAACCTTCTTTACAGAGATCTTTTCATTCAAGCATTTTGATCTCCCATTAAGAATTAAATACCACAACTTCTAAAAATGAAGGGCTAGCAAAAAACCGGGCTGGCAAGGCACCTTAACAGATATTTAACTTAAATTAAGTGTGCATGCTTATACTTAAGAACATCTTAACTAACTCTTTGCTGACTGAAGCCTCACAGTCTTTCAAGGCCTACCAGCCAAGCAACGGGAACCCAAAGGTCCACCCAGGCATCCCCATCCACAACTGTCTTTGCATCAGCACCAGGCCACAACCTCTCTATTTATGTTTGTCAATGGGCAACAGGTTGCCTGACTTATTCAGTTGTTTTTTTTCCCCAGAGGATGCCATTGTCCTACACTTTCCAATTTTACTTTGCTTTAACTGAGGCATCCATTTTCCTTGTCATATCATGGATGGAATTATTAATTTCTCTGACTTGAAATTTTCTGGAGAGTTATCTTGTGACTAAAGGCGTGGGCCTTAAACATGTGAAGACAGAGAGAAAAAAGAGATGGTAGTCAGAGAGCCAGTGTCAATGGTGTCTATCTGCTTCCATACCACTAGGAGCCCACAGGCTAATCTCAGCAGCAGTCTGAAAGTCTCCCCTCTAGAAGGGGACATTTTGATCAAAAACAAGCCATGAAAGAACACAAAATTTTTAGTTTCTCAACTCAAAAAAAAAAAGAAAAAATAGAATGAGGGAAAAGTTTCTCACTAGGACACTGATTCTTACAGCCAATTAAAATTCTTAGTTTTGAATGACTTGTATTAAAACATACATATTAAAAGACAGTTTCCATGCACTGTCCCGCATTCCTCTTCTCTCCACACACATGTGTAAGCCTCAGCCCATCATGCTAATTTATAAATCCCACTCTTCTCACCTTCCTAAACAGCCAGGCAGACTCTCACATGCTCATCTGTTGTGGTAATTCCTACCCTTTATGGTTCATTTGGTAGAAATATCAAGGAGATGTTTGTGAGAGAAGAACATGCTGAAGTCCCCATGGCCACAAGCACATCCTAAGGTCACATGCATGGTCACAACCACTTGCTTTGGAAGTGTAGGTAACGCTTCTGGGACTCCTACTAGAAAGCAACTACTACACCAATACATGCTAATGTAGTTTTTCTGGATTCTAAAGCAAAAACTCATCCTAAAACCAGATTATAGCTGTGCAGAGCTAGGCTCGTCTGTCTACTGGACTGGTTTTTTGTTAGCTCACTCTTTAAATGGTTTTACGTTTTTCCACTGCTCCCCAATAATTTTAACTAACAAAAACAGCAAACAAAAATGAAAGCCTTCTGCAACCTGTCATGAATCTTTGCACTGTTACGGTTTGGGGTAATATCCTCTGCTATAATGTGGTTTAGCACAGGAGACAGATCACAAAAGAGCAAGAAATATGCTTGAACACCATGCCAGGGCTTGGGCCACTCAACAGGCCAGTGTAAGAGCCAAGATTAGAACCCACAGACAACTCTTCAGACAGTGCCCTTCCCAGGGAAGGGTTTGGGCCCCTGTCCATGATAATGCCAAGCTCTTATATATTCACATGACACAGTGCAGAAGCAACTGCCACCCCTCAAACTACTAACAAAGGTCTCAGGTCTTATCTGATAAATACATTTCTTGCCGTTTCTCTAGAACATGATGCATCTTTCTACTATCCCTAAATTTATTCCCACAGAATGAAGTTTCTCACTGAGCAGTTCTAGCTAATTCTGAAGTCTGGGAAATGCATGTCTTAACGATTTCATTACATCTTCAGTAAATATCTTATTTTTAGATGTAAAGAGTGGCTACATTTTTTTCCCAAGCTCTAGGAACATTTCAGGAATGTGAGGCGAGATATACAGTTAATAGAAATAGATATTTCCCAAGCCAGTCAGAAGTTTGCACAACTGAGAACACCAATAAATTCTCAAACAACCACATTACATTTCCATTTACAAAATTCACTATTAATCTACTAATGCATGCACGCAGTAGTGTACCTCCCTGCATCTCTCAGCTACCAAAAGAAACATTTTGTGCAGTTCTTTCATGTTCCAAACTGCCTCTTGTTATGTGTGAACTTTTCTTATAAACAAAGCATCAGAGAGAAGTTTTGTTGCTGTTGTTTTTCTTTAGTACCCTATATGGTAAAATCTGGAGCAGATCAAAGGCCAGGATTTTTACTGTGAGAACAAGCTAAAAATTATTTCATTAGCTGATGTATTATTCTCTAATATATAATTATTTCCCAGCTACTCAGAGACATCACTTTGAAGAACAGAATTATTTGAGGCTGACTATATGAAAAGAGCACAGAATTTACTGGTGATGCAGCACCTAAAGAAGTGAAGGGGATGTGGGGGAGCTGATGGGGTATATTAGAGGTGTTGGGGACACTATGAGCAAAGCAGAATACCAGTGGTTCAGGGAAGAAAAAATGCAAGGCTGAACCCTCAATTCCGTGCCAATATTTTATTTCTCTATCCTTCTTCTGGTCCGTCTTCCACAAACATACCCAGAACCTCTTTCCTGATAATTTATGCACTGCAACTTCTTTCAATTTCAAATCACACCTTCATCCTTGCCCAAAATAATCTTCCAAGATCTTGCTTACAAGAGGATTTTTCATGAAGTACATTCACTTCCAAACCACTCTTTCTATGAACTCTCCTATGATACTCCACTGAAAACACTTTTCTGTGAAAGTAAGTTGTGGTACAGAGCCAAGTGGACATCCTGTCCCAAAACACAAAATAACAGCCCTGTGTTTAAGAACTTGATTTTCAACTGACTAGCTACCAAGTTCATGGATATTAAATAATTCTATACTTGTGGAAATACAACAGTGGCTCTTAAACCATTTATATGTTTTGCAAAATTTTATCAAAGGAGTTTAATAAATCAAAAAATGTTAAGGCTTTTTTAAAAAAAAAACCCACAAAATGAAGCACAGGAGCCAACATTATGCATGTTGCACCATTCACCCAAACTCCTAGGATGCTTTTTGTATTCCTTTTTCTGTCACTCATCTCATTTATTCTCCTTCATGGTGTAATCCCCCCTAGTGTCTTGTCTTGTCTCCTGACAGGCTGCAAGCTCTTCAGAGCAGGCACAATTGTCTTACTTGCTATATAAATCAAGCTACATGCTAATGCTAAATGATAATGTTTTGACAGGATTTTTAAGTTGAACCTGATTACATGAAACAATAGAACACTCTGATTTTTTTTTTCCTGAAATTTTCTTCTCTTAAAAAAGGGATACCAGAAGAGGAGAAGTGGGGCGTTTATTTCCCATGATTTTTAAAAAACTCACTGTTTTCCTCCTACCTGCCTTTCAGGGACAGCAAATGAAAAATGTTGGAGGTCATGGAAGAAAAAAAAAAAAGAAAACAGAGTGAAGAATATAAGGAGTAGGAAACAAAACCAAATTCTTAAATTATAATTTCTAAAACTAAATTCCATGAAAAATACCAGAATAAACATTTCCTTATAGTAGCTTCTATTGAATGAAAAGGAGTCTTACATTATTTCCCCCCCATTTTTGACAAGTTCTAGAAAAAGCCACAATAATTTTACACTCAATTTATCATTTAAGT